GGGCGTTGCCCCTCATCCCCCCTCATCCCCCTCCCAAACCCCTCTCCTAGATCCTCAGACAACAATGGCAACAGAGGCGTCATCTACCAGACTACGCCGGCTAACAAATGCGTCCGGGCTGGTTGATGATGACAGGTCCCAGGATCCGCGTAATGAGTTGCCCACACTTCTAGAAAACAGAAAGGAATGGCAAGGGAATTTATGGGTTGTAGGTGTACTTCCATTTTTAACTTAAATACATTTTAACTAAAAACTCACATATATCTGACACTTAATTAAAATAGGTTTCAGTTAATTTGAATAAAGTATCAGTAGTTACAAGGAAACATACTGTCTCAAAAACAAATGACTTTCTCCTAAAGAATTAATACAATTCCTCATCAGATAAGATTGATTGACTAAAAGCGAAATGTTCGCATGAAATATAAATATAATAAATTAATTCTTCGATTTGTTCATAGTCATGACTTAATGGTCACTCAATAAGAATGACATTTTCCTATTTTACCCGTTGTTCAATGTAGTTACACCCACGATATTCCCTAAATAACAACCAAGACTTTTTCAAGTGCATGTCTAAGGACCTCAACCTTTTGGAGTGGGCTCGAATTCCTGGGGGAGGCGCCTCCATTTGTCAAGTCAAAGTTTAAGCGGCGTCATGTGCATTAATTGTGGCAAATGTTTGTCTGAGCTCTGGGCCCAAAACAAACAGCTGGCGGGCAGGGGGCAGCTTACCAGCTGGCTAGCAGCTCGTGATTTCGGGGCGGTCTCGAGATTTTCAGCGTTTTTCAGCTTGAGCATGAGCGAAAGTGATTTCGGCCGCCGGCTGCATAAATCCTGCAATGAATAATTTAGTCGTTCGCCAGCCGGCGACCGTGGAATCGAATGGAAACGAACTGTTTTGCTGTTTTGGGGGAAACACTTAAGCCGCAGGAGTTTCCAGTGCCCAGCCCCATTTGACCACCCAAGCGTCAGTGGCGGCGGCGCCTTGGCGGCAAATTCATCACATGAGTGTCCCCCGCTTCCCAAAGTCCCGCCCCCTCCCTCCGGAGTCCCCTCCCTTGGCTCCCAACTGCTAAAACCCCGGGGCGACTACGCTAAATCGTGTGTGAATGGCTTGACGAACTGCAGCGGGACAGTGGGACAAATGGACAAGTTAATTGCAAATCTCAAGCAAACAAATGGGGTATGACATTTGCAAAAGCTTCTTTCCTCGAAAGGCATTTATTCAACAAGATTTTAATATGGGTTAATTTTTGTCAATGGGTAATTTATAAAAATGTTGTAATAGAATCTGAGATCAGTAATTGTTAGTAAAACTGTCATTTTAAATCCAATACTTAGCTTGCGTTAAAGCATAGAATTTTTAAATACCAGTTTGCCAGTTTCAGTCAATAAATTTTACTTTACGCTTTAGTAATTAGGATTTAAAATAATAAAGTCTTATAGCAAACAAAGCTTTAAAATGCTAACCTATTCTAATTACAAGCGACTAAATCAGCAGAAAACTTCTGTTTGTCCTTGTAACTATTTTGTGTCATACGAATGGAAAACCTTTTGTCTCTCAAAGCTAAATAAACAAAAAAGGCATTGGTTTTCGTACATTTTTTATCTGCAGTGTGGCTAATAACTTGGACCACTGAGTGTCTGACCACCGTGCCGAGATTTAATGGCCCAACCTGGCCCGGCCGGGCTTGACCATTACGGCGACCAATTAGTCATTCGGCACTGGTCTTACATGTCATCCGTCGGAGGGGTTTGGCCAAACAACCATTGAGCCAAAGAGTTAAAGCCAAAAGCCAAAGCCGGAGACAAACAGCGTACAGCGAACGACAAGCCAGCGAGCAGGCAGCCTGTAATTTGTTTGTCAATTAAAAGCGTCGGCAACATGCAAAATGCCTTTTGTCCGACTCACTTTCGCAACATGTTGCACGTAGTCAGCACACCACTCACATATATATAAATACATATATATATTGCTGAAATAAATGAAAGCGAGGTCAAAGAATTCTTGAAAGAGGGGTCATTCCAAAAAAGAAAAAAAAAAGAAAGGGAAAGGGCGGAGGAAATGCCTTTGGAAGCGCCTCCGAATGCGGAAATTGGCGACAGCTGGCGCTCACTTTCAACCGGCGACTTCTTTTGTGGTTCTGCCTTGTCAGCGCTAATGGTGATATGCAAAAGGAAAACTTAAAGCCGAAAAACCAAAAAAAAAAAACAAAAAAAAAAAAACAACAGAAAACCGAAAGCGGTACAGCGGCAACAACAAATCACAGTGCCGCTGTTGCAGCTCATTATTTTAACGGTGCCGCCGGCGGCACTTTCTACCGACTGTCCAAAAATAAGCAGCCATGTTGCATATAGTCTCCATACACATTTGTGTTATTTTTGTTTCCACTTTTTCTCCCTGCGCTTTTTGGCCACAAATCCTAAAATGGCAAACGCGACATGTGCGACCGACTTAGCCAGGCAGAGGCGACAAGGTGATGGTGACACGTTGCCCGCCGAACGAGGATGGCAGCGTGATTGGGCCGGAAAACTCTGGGCCAAGTTAACATGAATCGGATGGGAGCATAACTTATTAAAGCATATATTTTAAGTAGAATATTTAGGGGATTAATTGATTTGGAATTAGTTGTTTTGTCAAATAATGTAGATAATAAATAGCCAGAAGTAATACTTCTTGCTGTAACAGAATAATTGAGATTAATTGTGTTGATATTCCATTTGAATATATATGAATAATCTGAACTTACTTCCAAATATTTTTATTTTTTATTGATTAAAGCTTATTTTGCTTGTAGAAATTTAATTGAATAATGATGTCTGAATAAACCCGTTTGCATTAACAGACTTTAAGGGAAAATGGTACTTCGTAATTGGTACTACTAATAAAATAACTATTTACAAATTTAGATAGCAAAACATCACTTAATTTACAAATTAATTTAACAGTTAAAACGTAAATATATGAATTAAAGTGATCGTATATTGTGATATCTGTGCCATGAGAAATCGATATTAAATAATTGATTCTTATAAAGACTTTGAGTTTTACTAATCACCCAAGATAACTTAACCAATTTCAATATCCCCCTTATACCAGTTTATATTCAATAAATCAGCCTATAAACTCCGTTCGACTAACTCCCAAGAAAAGCGAAAACTTAGTGAAATATCGCCACAACAATCTTTCGGATATTTCCATCGCTAGCAGCACTCAAAGTCGCAGCTGTGCCTTTTGGATTCGGAGTCGCAGTCGAAGTGGAAGTCGGATCGGAATCGAAGTCGGATCGGCTGGCAGATGCGTGTGCCTGCCTCTCGGCGAATAAATCTCAAATATAAATAATAAGCAAATATTTTATATTTGCCTTTGCGGGCAGAGTCTGTCTGGTCTTTGTCGCTCGCGATGCCCAATTTGGTTGGTTGGTTGGTCGGTTGGTTGGTTGGATTGGCGTTTTCGCCGGCGAGAAGACAAGATCGGCGGCTTTAGTGGGTCAGGCGGTCGATCGAGGGAATCGAAATTGAGACTGGCGCCTAGCTGGCGTCGATTGATTTTCATATTGGTCGCCGTGCAATTAAAAGCCCGCTTTCAAGCACTATTTGAGCTGCACTGCTAATTCGATCGCAACTGGAAGCCCCTGGAGCCCCGAAAGGAGCCCCCTGATTCTGATCATTCAATTAAAATATTTCATGGCACAGCGGCGAGTGGAGGCCCCGAGCTGAATTGATTGATCAAAGCGCAGAGAGCAATAAATAAAATGAGAAGCGAATAAAATGAATAAATGCAAGTGCCAGCTATGCGCCGCACATGTTCAACACTTTGCACTTCCTCATGGAGTGGGCATGGAATTTTGCTCGCTGCTCGCTGCTCCTCCTGCATCGGAATGCGAAATTAATGAAATCACATGCAGACGAGGCGGAAAAGTGCTGGCGGGAGGGAGGAGGCGGAAAGGGGAGGGGGAAGGAACCCAGGGGATACCAGGAAAACGGGGGGTACGACGATGAGGTGGCCAGACCGCCGCTGACAGTGATTAATGTCTGCTGCGGGAACAACAGAAACTGAAACCCGCACAGGGCAAGAATAAATTGGGCTTGGTCAGTAAATGATGTTTAATAAAGGAGTTTTTAAAACGATTTGATTTTCAAGAATTAATTGAATGGGATCCTTGAAAGATTCAATAAGGTTTTGCAATTTTTAAATATATATGTCATTTGCATACTTCAATTACCATTACTAAGAGATCACATTTTAAATGAAATTATTCGATATTCGTGATGTTAATAATTGATTTTAATTTATATCTCATTTAAACATTAAAACATATGTTATGTATATGAATCGAAACACGACAAGGTAATAATTGTTCAATATTTAAATTTCATATAAATTTTATCAATAACATATGTTGTTAATAAGGAATTAAAAGAATACTTTATAAGGAAATCGATTTTTTAAATGTCTTCAATGAGATACCTTTTTATATAGTTGAATTCTTGTTGCATTAAATTCCAATGCAGTTATTAATTCTCCCCTTTCAATGATGAAGACACTCGAAAACCAAAGAGAACTTCGATATTTTTAAGCTGACGTTTCCCCTGTGCATTAACCGACGCACACTCACATTAATGACACATTAAGAGCCAAAGAACAAATCACGGTCAAGTGGTGCTCCAGTCACTTGGGTGGCTTATTAAAAGCGAAAATAAGTCCCTCACAACATGTCTGCTTTGGAAGAAGAACGCTGACGAGGAAAGTAGCTTAGGTCCACAAAGGCGATGGAAACGAAATGGAATGTTAAAAGGGTTACCACAAAACAAAGAAGCTGAGGAAGGTGAGCTGGAGACCCATTAAAGTGAGTCAAAAGTAAAAGCCGTGCCACAGCGACAGTGTTGGAGATAATCCACTTAGGAGATACCAAGCTTCAGATAGATGGTGTGGAAAGCTTCCGTCTTGGGGTTGGTAATCCCTACCCAAAAAAAACCAAAACAGAACACTCATATTCCCTTATCTGCACTATATTTTCGAACTGGGGGGATTCTTAAGAGAGAGTTGACTCAATTCCATAGACTGATTCACTTGAGATCCACTAAATAATATAGTTTCCACCCATGGATAACTAAGTTCTTTGTTTCCTGCGCATGCGTCACGCGCCAGACATTCATCATCATCATCATTATGACGATCGTCTTCGTAATCGGCTGAGGAGAGAGTTAAATTACCGACCTGCGAACAAACTTTTGTTTTAACGACTGAAATATTCGGTAATAAGCAGAAATTCAAAACAGCCGCTCCGAGGAAAGTATCGCATTTCCAGTCGAAAACATTGCCCCTGGGCTTGGGTTACACATTATACAACATCGGAGAGACAATGAGCAGACGCAGCCGCAGCCGCAAAAACTCACATGGGTTTCCGCAAAAAACTCCGACGACAGTGGCCACTTATAATTTGTTTCATTAGCCAGCGTGAAATGCACTTTTGGCCAGCAGCTCCTTTTTGGCCAGAAAGCCATGGCTTTCCCGGCTCAAACTTGGTCAGCGTTCATAATTTTTCATAATTTCGCGTGGGCAGCCAGGCATTTGCATTTGCATTTACATTTGCCAGCCATCCAGCCAACCGACCGACCGACTGACTTCCTTACAGCTGGCTCTTTTTGGCTTCGAGTGTCTTTGGCTCCGTTTGTCTTTGTCCTCGGCCTCCGCAGCCGCCCATAGATTGCCACGCCCACTGTCCAATGTCCAGTGACCACTGGGCAGTGCGAGATGCAAACTGCCCACTGTGCGAATGGGCGACTATTTTTCATTTCAATTAAATTCGCATCGCGACTGCAAATCAAATCGATTGCCGGCGCATTTAACGCCTGTCACATTACTTTGCGAGCCCACTGTTCGCTCTTACGCAAGTGCCGGCACTCGTATCTGCGGGTCCACTGTATCTCAAAGATCCAGATGCAGTAGTGAGTAGTCCAAGGAGTGAGAAAAATATTGCATGCATTTGGAGGTATTTGTATTTAAATTGTTTCTAATTTTTTCTGGCACTCAAGAATTTTGTTAATGGCTGTTTAATTAAGTTGCCATAATAAAATGTTTGGACAGCACCACTTTAAATTCTAAATGGTGCTCGTAAAAATGTTAACATTTTCTAAAAGCATCCGGAAATACATATTTTTTTTATTGTATATGCTAATATGTTTGTTGGTTAAGAAAACAATATAAACCACTTTTAGTTTGATAAAATATCACGTCAAAAACTTACATACTTTACAATTTTAATAGAGCTACTTGTGACCTACTTGTGCAATATTTTTTCGCTGTGCAGGTGACACTTTGCCTTCGGTTTTCACTAGCACACATTCATGCTTGGCCGGCATAATAACGCTTTATTACGCTGGCTTTACTGCCATGTTTTCCACGGTGGCACAGTTTCCAGCGGAGCAGTTCCTTTCTGGCGGACATTGAGTGCGTGGGGCAGTCATCATTTGTTTGGGCTGGTTGGGCTAATGACATGTGCCTGGTCACGAAATGTGCTCCAGACACATTTGTTGCGCCCAAATGGTAATAGAACTCCTCGCATTTAGCGATGACAGCGTGAAATTCGAGCGGGATCGGGGGAAATCGGAGATGCATTTCGGGAGGGATAGAGTTTTCCGGGAAAAAAGTGGAGAAAGTAAAGAAAATATCTGAAGTCGATCAGAGACCTTTCCCATCCCTAGTTACTCTCCATTTCAACTCGACTGAGACGCGTGTCTAATTTATTATTGTGACCTTTGTCTGGTTTGCCGGGTTTCTCTGTTGTTTTAATTATTCACCGTGCTAAACACCTCAATTAAACAGATTGCAACCCCTCAGCAATCGCGTGTCAAAGTTGGATTTCCATTACAATGGCCGGTGTGTGTGAAGTCACCCTGCTTGAATGGGGATATGGTATTATACGTGTGCACTGCATATGCGATTCAAGGAGTGTCCTGAAAGGGCGAGCCACCCCTGGATCTCCTCCTCTTCCTCCCAACTCCTCCTCAGCCCTCGAATATTTGTTGTCCCAGTGCACGAGTGCGCCAATTTCCCGGGCACTCCCGAAAGCACGCAACAGTTTTCGCCGGTCGCAGCATCCCCCCCAAATGGTTGGGAAATCCCACCCCCTGTTTTCCATCTTCTCCCTCAAGAGTTGAATAAACCCGCATCGGCACTTGGACAGAGAGCAAAATAAATATAGAGTATTGGTACTGGCTTTAACGAGAATATGTTTGAGCTGTGAAAAGGTTTTTGAGTACAGACAATATTTTCTTAAGCTGTGAATCCTAGTTATTCAGATAACTAAATATAAATAAATATAAACAAAATTTAGCAAGATCTTGAATTATACAGTTTCATACTTCTTAATCATTACTGAAATATTTTCAATTCAAGCCTTATATGAGAAATGAGAATGTTATTTTTTAAAATACATATTGAAGAATTCATAAAAACTTTCATGACAAAATTATTGTTTAAAATAAATATTTGATTAAATATTTATAAAATAAAATTGGTTATTGTCCGCTACTTTAATTCAATAAATTATGCAACATACTTTTCAAAGTATTTTTCTACCAAACGAGGAAATATGAGAAGCCACAACATTCTCAGATATTAATGAGCTATCAAAATGAATGCAAGTGTTTTAAAGCAATCCGCTGATGACAATACGCAGCTGATTCGCTTTTGTTGCCTTCCGCTGAGTGACGAAATCTGTTCCAGCTCCGCATTGTTCGCATGTGGGGGAGATGTGAATAGGGGGAGTGGGAAAGGGGGGAAAGCAACAAACACTTTCACCGCTCACCGAAGAGCGGGCTGCAGTCCGCTGCAGTCAATACTCGTAAATCAAAAGACTCCACTCCACTCCAGTCCAGTCGACTCGAGTCGAGTCGAGTCTACTCCAAATGCAAGTCGCTGTGAATGCGACTATTACCCCAGTTTGAGGTCCAACCCTTGAGATACGGCGGCTGCACAAGGGGCCCACACATGGCATCCGGCAGATACGCGCATCTGCGGGATACACGACGCACAAGTGCAGCAGCGCAAGACAGTAGTCACCCCCTACGGAAGACGAGCGCCCACGCGCATGAGCACACAAACCGAAACTCGTTCTCCTTCTCTCCGCTTTTGCCTTCGCTTTTGCCCACTCTCTCTCCCGGCGACTGTTACATTTTGATTTGGGTTTCGACTGGGTTTTTGTTTTGTCGTTCAGTTTTCAGTTTTTAGTTTTCAGTCTCACGTTGACCGGTGAACATCGTCCAGGAAAACCCGAAGTGAAAACCCCCGAAAAACTCGCCACCACTGCAGCTGACCGTTTTTTGTTTAAACTCACCCGAAAAAAAAACAAAAAATATCCGTGTGTGTGCAGCGATGCATTTAAATTGTTTCTGAACGGCCCCACGGAATATACGATATATACATATATATATGCATATTTCGCTTCCGTTGCGCACCAATTGTTACCGCAGCCCCCGCCCCTTTGACACGCCCTCCCCCGCTGGCATAGCAAACATAAAAAAAAAAAACCAACAACAGAATACAACGGAAAATGTTTACAGTGTTTGGCAACTTTGTTGCCCCGAAACGAGGTCAATGCATTTCCAATTGCCGATAACAAAAAATGTGTAGCGAGCGCTCGAAAATCCGAAAATGTTAAGTTCAAAGTTAAGTGCACTGCAGCCCCAAGGCATTTACTTTAAATCATAAATAAATTAAGAATTTTCCACTCGAGTGAACAAACTTAAATGTGGATTCACTAGTGTGTGTACGAGTGTGTGCGTGTGTGTTGTGTATCTGTGTCTCTGGCAATAATTGCATGCCATAAAATGCCAGCAGCAACTTGTTATCAACGCGGCTGCTGTGCCTTGTAATCGGACTTCCACTTGAACTATATATCCCGTCTTTATTGGTCTTTATTGGATTACCAGTGGATGCAAGCGGGTTAAGAGGGTACAGTGGCCACTGGATACAGCAAACAACGGCGATAGCCAGGTGAGTGAGTGGACGGCAACGGCAACATTGTTGCCGCATCGATATGTTGACCCGGGAATTCCGCCGAGTGCAATGCTCTCTGCCGGGAACTAAGTGTGTCAGTGTCCACCCCCAAATTGGATTACACCCGCATCTCAAAGATATAGCAAATGCAGTGAAAAAAAATTAAGTTTAGCTTGGGAGGAAAAACAAATAGCAGATAGCATATCGCATTTCAAATGTAATTAATATCTGCACTAATTAAATCAGCAACTAGCCTTCTTAAGTTACAAAACACTGCACAGCCAACCAGCTTAAAATGTGTAATTTAATACTAGATTTCAATATATAATTTGATTTAAAATGATTCTTACGAAATTCGTTAAATCAATTAATGTTAGGTGTTAGGTATTCAGTACTCGTTTGGGCATTAAGTACCACAATCTGTCTTATAATAAATACTTCAAAGTAAACCATAACCAATTGTTTTAAATTAGTTCGAATTAAGCCATGAGTGGAATAAGATCGTATTATAGTAAACCCAAACTGTTTTACTGTGCACAATCGAAGTCAACTCATTGGCCCCCCGCGAACAAAGACAGAGATATAAATCTGTTCTATTGAAATCGAAAAAAGAAATCAAAGAGCCAGCGAACGACATGCGAAGGCGGCAGATAAAACGGATTATCGTGGCTCAAAGCGACAAGCACACATTAAATTAGTAAACAAAAGTCAACGACTGATGTTCGAGGGAGGGAAACCGTGTGGAAATGCGATATTGGGCCCAAGTACGGGCCACAGACGATAATGGCGAGCGGAGACCGCACGATGGGTGTACGATTTCCCAACCAGATCGGCGCAGATTGAGCCATAAGCCCGCAGTTACCGTTAAAGTCATTGATTCGCCATATCCATGGCAGTTAATTAATCAGCCCCCCGATTTGGGGTCACTACTATACTCTATATCGCGCGGGGTGTGAACTATGCGCAATTCACTTATCGCCCCAAGAAGCCCCAAAGTGAGCGGATTAAAAGACGCAAAAGCGACGAAAGATAATGGTCAGTGGGTTTAGCATAGAATTGCGGACAAAGAAGTTCAACGCTCGCACGAACAGTTAAATTACAGTGAGCCCTCGCTGGGCAAGATGGCCGGGGCCGATAAGAGTCTCTCGCATTCGTACCTGCAATCTGGGCCACGGCGTGACCAATTTTCCCTGGCCGTCCGGCCCTTTTCCGCAGGGAAAGCCCATGCGAATGGAGTTTTGGGGGGAATACCGGAAAAGAGAACTGTTATGTTCGGTTATTGCACGGGGAAAAATATGTAGAATGTTCCATTATAGCCCGGTGTTATAAATGTCGCAGTTTGTTTAAATTTGATATATAATATATATGACAAGTTAACATCTTACCAGAAGTGGAAAGAAAAATGATATGGTGACATTAACAAATATATTAATTACATTTCACATATGGAAACATAAATAAGAAACAATCTAAATTGGAAATATCCACTCAATTGCAAACCTACCTGTAACTAAAATGTTTCTTTTGCGAAGAGCTAAAAAACAAGATTAAATTAGTTTCGGAGGTGTGACCAATATGTAAATTAGTTTAAATAGAACTATAAAAAAGCATGAGATTTGTACTCTGATAAATACCGATCACTACTTTATATTGCAGATTATTTCAATTTTAATATGTAGGAATGTAGGTGTACATTTCCTCAAAGATATATTAAAAGAATTCCTATAAATATTGAATTTCTGGTATCAACAGTTGGTTGTCGTATGGTCTGGTTATTTAAATAAAATACTTGTGCATGCCAAGTGAGAATCTGGGAGTGGGTTTCTTTGTTTGCTCGCGTGGAATTGGCTGTAAACAGCTGTGGATCCGGCAGAACAGCTTTATTTTGGCAATTGAAATTCCCGGCTCGGGACGATCGGCAGTGACAGCTGAAGTGGGGCGGCTGGCTTTCGGGGCCCACAAGCCGGGCATAATAATAACCCTGAAAGTTTACTGACTTCCGTTGCAGCAACTGCAACACCAGAAACTCCAGCAACAGCAACAGCAGCAACACCAGCAACTGGCAACTGGCAACTTGGAGCCCGTAGGCAGGAGTCGTCCAAGAAGTGGAGGCAGCAGTGGGCCAGGGGCAAGGGCGATGGCCAACCGATGGCATCGGGGACACCCATGCTCCTTCGTGGCGAGTGGAGCACGTAGGTGGCGCTAGTGTTGTTTATGGAGAGGAGGAGGCGTTGGCTCCATTCTCCATTCTCCTGCTGCTGCTGCTGCCGCTGCTGCTGCTGCCTTCTTGCCTCCTGTTGGTGTCGTCTGCAATTTGTTGTTGTTTGCTGCCGGCATTGCAGTTGTACGATTGAACGAGTACCTGCAACCTGCGGCTAGAAAGGAGCTGCGATGTTAACAACCGTTGCTACGGTTCGGGTTTGGGTTTGGGTTTGGGTTTGGGCCCGGCCAAGAACCGTGTTAACTGAAAAGCGGCGGCTGCATTTCCACACGTTACCCGGCAGCAGCGACAATGACATGACAGCAGCAACATCAGCAACACGAGCAGCATCGGCAACACCAGCAACACCAGCAGCAACTCTATGGGCAGAGATCGCATCTGTGTATTTATCTTAATTAGGCGGGCGTTGGCCAAGTTAAAATGCATGAATCACTGGCGAACGGAGTGACAAGGCTCGAAAGATCCCAGCCAAGTTGAGTCGAGTAGGAAGCCTAAAAATAGCAGCTGCAATCGTGGGTAAACTACTAAACACCGGGATGAATTAAGCGAATATGAATTTATTTAACTGGATTTAGCTGAGGTATTTCAAAAGCCAGGTAAACGTAAACAAAAATACAAAAATACACTGAATCTTAAAAGTAAAGTATTTAGCATTTATCCAACAAAAAGTTTAGTTTAAATTTCAACGCTAAAGGATAGAGTATAGAAATAAATTTCAATCTTTCGTAAGTCATGAGTAAAATTTTATTTAACAAGCAAATACCCCTCACAAGTTATAAATGCATTCCTAAATTATTTTATAATACGTTTCTATTTATCTTATCGAAATTAATTAAATATTTTATTTATCTTTTCTGCATATTTTATGTATATATCCTTAAGCTAGAAATGCCAATTCCCCATAGGCCAATAGCAATTAATTAGAAATCGCTGAGCTACGAAAATTGATTTTACTTAATCAAGCCGCACACACACACACACACACACATATAAATACACTCTGGGACATCGAGAAAATGACGCTTTAAAAGTTTTTCGCTGTTGCCAAACGCACCAAAATTAATCAAGCGGTAAAGGCAGCAACAAAATATACAATGGCCGAAAAAAAAACAACAAAAACAACACTTTTATAGGCAGCGCTTGAATGCCCAAAATGCATATCGCTTGGATTCCAATACGAAATTTACCGTCGCATGGCATTTTTTTGGTTGTTGCCTGATTTTATTTTCAGTTT